TGCCTTCATGGAGTTTGGGCAGCAGCAGCAGCAGCAGCAACAGCCGCCGCCGCCGCCGCCGCCGCCCCACTCCCAGCAGACCTCGCCGGCCATGGCAGGCGCGCACTACCCGCTGCACTGCCTGCACTCGGCGGCCGGCTCGCACCCGCACCACCAGCACCACCACCACGGCTCGCCCTACTCCGGCGGCGCCAACTCCTACAACCACCGCTCGCTGGCCGCCTACCCCTACATGAGCCACTCGCAGCACAGCCCTTACCTCCAGTCCTACCACAACAGCAGCGCGGCCAGCCAGACGCGGGCGGACGACGCAGGTGAGAGCGGCCGCTTTCTTATCGCTTTCAGCTTCTCCCTCCTGCAGCCCGCGCCGGCTCCAGGGCCCGGCTCGCCGCCGCCCGCCCGCACCAGCCCGCCGGGACGGATCCAGCGCTCCGGGCTCCCCGCCGCCCTGCATGCCTGCGTGTGTGTGTGTTTGCAGGGACACGCATGTGTTTGCGGGGAGATCCAGACATGCCCGTACTCGCGCGCCGCATTTCCCCTCGCCTCCCAGCCGCGATCTCTGCCCGCGGAGCCCGGGGCCGCGGAGGAGGGAAGGAGGGAGGGAGGGGAGTTATTTGCTTGCGGTGCCCGTGACCGCGGGCCTGCAGCCCGGACACCCCGCGCCCTGCCCGGCCCGGTCCGGCCCGCAGCCATCTGCCTCCGCGGCTCTGGCCAGGGCCGGGGCCGGGGCCGGGGACCAGGGACCATTTCGGGGGCGCTTCAAGGCAGCTTAGGGAGTGTGGCCGGGGCTCCTTTGTTTCCCGGCGCAGGGCGAGAATTACTATTAACACCTGCGGAGTGAAAGTTGCAAGATGAGTTTGCTGTGCCATTCTCCCCCCCCCCTTCCCTCCAGATAGCAGCTCGTTCTTTAATATATTCGCCTGAGATTAAAAAATAAATAAATAAATAAATAAATAAATAAATACACCGATAAATAAAGCACTGGGAATTCACTGACCACCAAACTGGCGACGTGAAGTCAATTAGCCGTGTAAAAAACAAAACAACCCCCTCCCTCGATGGCCAAAGAAGCCCTGCATTAAAGCAAATGCTAGATAGATAGATAGATAGATATTTCAATGGCCATGGAATGAGCAAGCCCTCCGTGAAAGCAAATGCTATATAGATAGGAATGTATTTTGCAAGCCAAATAAATCATCCAGAATCTAGAGACAGCTTCTTCTTTTTTTTCCGTGGGGAAATAGGTACGTTTCTACTCGGAGTCAGTCTTGTCTGATGCCTTGTAGCCTTGCGGATGTGTGTGCCAGCACTGGAGTACTGGGATCGAGCCGGCATTGTTGCATGCTGCAGTTAAGAGAGAGAGCGGAGGGTGCCTGGCAAACAAAATGCCCACGTTCAGAAGCTGCCGAGTGCGTGCGGCGTACCTTGCCCTGGTGCTATTTCAAGTGTGTTGTTTGCTTGCAGATCAGCAAAAAACAACAGTGATCGAGAATGGGGAAATCAGATTCAATGGAAAAGGGAAAAAGATTCGGAAGCCACGAACCATTTATTCGAGCCTACAACTTCAAGCTTTAAATCACCGCTTTCAGCAGACCCAGTACCTGGCACTTCCAGAGAGAGCTGAACTGGCAGCTTCATTAGGACTTACTCAAACACAGGTAAATTACTGGGAACCCCGAGTCACTGAGATCCTGGCCGCACGGTACCAGGCCAGCCCGAGCCAGAGCTTCACTAGACGTCTCGGCCTGTGTACTTGGCAGTAGAGAAGGGAATACATGCCATGCCGTATGGTACTTAATGCCATCCGATACCTAAGCGAGACAGAGCGTAGGGTCTGCTACTGCAATAATTGCATCTGCGGTTCCCCAGCCCAGTAGCGAACAAACGCTCCCCTCTGGATGACACCACTAACAAAAAATCAAAATAATTACTTCACCAACCTGCTCAATTGTGAAAGCAAAAAAATAAGGAAACCTTAGGCCTTTAGCTCTCAGGGAAGAGTTGAAATAAAAATCCAGCTGGTAGCAACCTAGAGATACAGAGAAAGCAAGATCTCATTAGGAAATACCTGTAAAATCAATAGTTAATTCAGCCTGGATGACTAACTCAAATGCAGTGTTTACCCTTGGGCAAAATGTACCAAAGGTGATAATAGATCTGAAGATCAAAGCCATCCGTGTACAAAATTATAGCAGGTTAAGCCATAGTTAAGTGTGGTTGGTGTAGTGGTGCTAGCCTGCTAATTTAAGCTTGAAGGACACCAGGTATTACAGGCTTCCCGAGCAGAGGTTTGCAGAGGGAGAAACGGTGTCGACTCCTGTGAAATGTAAGAGTGTGCAGTGCTGACTTCCCCAAAGCCTTGCAGTGTTTCAGCCTGGCAATGGATAGCATTAGTTGATGGGGATGATTTTTAAATCTGGAGCAGACCCGAAACACGGAAACGTATCTGGTCATTATCCCAATGGCATTGGAAAAGATTGCGGGTGCTCACACACACGGAGCTACGGGCCTGATCCTGAACACCCCCGACGAAGGACGAGTCCTTACTTACCTAAAGACTAACCTGCGAGCTGCAGCCCGTGGTTTGAATCTTTAAGTAAGACCCCTTCTCTGTCACCTTACAGTAATTCGGGACGGGTCCGATCCTGCAGCCCTAGTGCAGGGGAAAACTCCGTATCGGAGATTTTGACCCGATTCAAAAGGTACCAGGCTGAAGCCCAGCGCGCTTCCTACGGCCAGGACGTGACCCTCTCTGCAGAGGTCGTGCTTTTCAAGTAAAAGCTCAGTCCTCGTCCTAGCCAGCCTCTTCGCCTGCTTGCTGGTGCCTGTTTTCTGATTCACGTTTTTCTTTTGGAGATGCCCTTTGTCTATTGGTTGCTGTCTCCTAGTAGAGGATCATATGATTCCCTCTGTTTGCAACAGTTTGCCCAACTGATCAAATGACCTCCAAAATCCCGAATGAGGGAGAGGATCCGTGGAAAAGTGTAAAGACACGCTTACACACATACACACGCGCGCACGCACGTGTGTGCGCCAGGAGCCTAAACTGCCAGGAGCGCCGGGTCATTGTTTTGGCCTGGGCACGAAAAGAAAGGCTCCCTGTGCAAAGCTGTGCCCGCCCTGCCCGTTATTGCTAATAACCCGTTAGTCCGCACGGTCCCAGCTGCGGGGCAACTCCAACCCTTCCTCCGCGGCAGGGACACCCCTGCTCCACATGTCGATGCCCGGGGGTCCCTGGGCAGTGGGTCCAGCCCGCGCGGCCTAATCTCTCCTGCCTTTTGCTTCCAGGTGAAGATCTGGTTTCAGAACAAACGCTCCAAGTTCAAGAAGCTGCTAAAGCAGGGCAGCAACCCCCACGAGAGCGACCCGCTGCCGGGCTCCGCCGCCCTGTCCCCGCGCTCGCCAGCCCTCCCTCCAGTCTGGGACGTTTCAGCTTCCACCAAGGGAGTCAATATGCCTCCCAACAGCTACATGCCCGGGTATTCTCACTGGTATTCCTCTCCACATCAAGACACAATGCAGAGACCACAAATGATGTGAATTGTCCAAGAGAAATACTCTGTCCAGAAATAAAGGAAGTAAGAGAAAAAAAAAAGCCCAGTCTCGCCATGGCAAGAGGCTCCCTGCCTTGCCAGCGATGCCAGCTAACAGGCTCTGCATGGACTTGTACGTGTGGCAAGGAGACAGGGTGGCTTTTTTTAAAGTAACCTCAGCGATTGATCTTGAACAGAAAGACACAATTTTCCCTGTGGCGCACATAAGACACTTCTCTTTAGGATATTTTCATTTGGACTTGAAGGCACCAGCCTCTTTCTCTTTGGAGTATACGTCAAAGCAAAACTTTTTACTGACTTTTTTTTCTCCTCCTCTCTTCCCTAGTCCAAGAAGAACCCAAATATACATGGCCACGTTTTTACTTGTTTAATGAGCTAAAGACATTACACGAGGAAAGGGAGGTTATTCGCACGCCTGCATTTGCATTCACCAAATCCAGATTGAAAATAAAGGAAGAAAAAGACAAGGAAAAAAGAATAGGAAAAAAAGAGAACTGTATGAAAAAGAAAAAAAAGCAAACAAACCCTGTAAGATTAGAGCATTAGAACGACGAAGCAAAACCTGCATGCTTTATCAAAATGAAATGGGCAACAACGCAGAAGAAACCACTGTCTCTCCTTGGACCCCCCGCCCCCCACCCCACCTCACCTCCAGACCCCCGGAAATGCACAGGGAAAGACCGAGGGAGGACCCACCAAAGCAGCCCACCCTGGCTCTGCAAGGTCTAGTACTTGACTGGTGGCATTCTCATTCACTAAGCTATAGGGACGTTTATATGGAGCACCCTTTCTGTATATATTGTTGAATTTTAGTTGTATATATACTTTGTATGTTTTTGTCTCCTTTCATATATAGAGTAAAAGCCACAAAAAGCCCGTGTGTCTTGTATTTCTCTGCAGATGGAACAGCACATCCTCTCTGTCTCTAGCTAGAGCTATGGCTACAGACACCGGCAGGCACACACAGTGATTCCCGCAACATTTTTGACGTGAAAAGCAATAAATGTACCAGCAAGGACTTTTCTTTTCTTTTCTTCTTCTTTTTTAAAGTATAAACCTGAGCCCCCGTACCTGTCTATACTGCACAGGCAATTGGGGATGTTTCTAATCACTCGGTCGCTTCTTAGCCAGTTTTCAGCATTATATTGCTATCATTTTGACGTTTAAAAAAATGACTGTGTCATTTAACCTGAGGGTTCCCTCAAGGTAACACTCGGTGCTTTGCATTATTTCCTACCCAAGTAGGTTTGGAGAGGAAGGGGGAAAAAGGAGGAGGAGGAGGAGGCGCCCTCCTTTGTTTTTAAATAACAGACAGACAATTAAAGCTGTGTAATGTTTTGCAAAGCCCTGAAAGGTGCCTAGGTATACAATGCACTGTCCAGGGAGAATTATATCCTTACTATATTGTGGAAAGCAGAGAAATAATGAAAATGAAAAGTCCTTTCGTCACACAAGCTGCATGCCCCATACTGCGAGAATTAATGGCTAGAGACCTGGGCATCCTTCAAATTATGAACCTTGAAACCACTGAGCCATTTATCAGAAGTCAATAGAGATACTCAGAGTGCTCCATATAATGACAGCTACATACAGTCGTGCAAAAGGACAGTCACTATAATTAGACACAAAGCAAAGACTACTTACCAATATACCAGCTCCTTTTTTTTTTGAGCAACTTCCACACTCAGTCAGTCTTCAGAATGGTTTAAAACCGATCAGTCTTGTCATTTTCTACCATTCGTATTGTTACATTAGGAAAAATGTTTTCTTTTCTTTTTTTTCCCTTTCCCACTGTGAAACTTTGGGTTCAGAGCTCCCCAGGATCAATTCTGAACAAAGCCTCCAGCTGCAGTGCCATCCAATTTGAAGCAGACATTGGGGACAATTTAAGGTTTTTATCCACAAGAAGGTTTTTTTCCATTCTCTTAAATGCAGCCATAATTAGAGTAATTTTTCATGTAGCCCGCTGATTACAGCGTTTTTACCGTCAAAGATAATTACCTGTAATTTTCTTCCACTTTTAATACTAAAAAGCCATCTTTATTTAGATTCAGGAACAGGAAAGGCGAAACAAAAGAGGAAAATTATTCTGTTATTCATACACAAATTGCAGAGACGTAGGACCTAAAATTGAAAATTAACCAAAATTATAATGCTGAAAAGAATGGAAGAGGCTTTAGAAGTACAGCTGGTAGTGGGGCTCACTGAATTATTCAAATTACGTTAGAGAGAAAGCTACCATACACTTAAACCAAGAGTATTTTTTTCTCTTTTTTTTTTGGAAAATCTAGTTTACACATCCCAAGCCTCCGTGTATGCAGGTGAATCGGAAACCCAGGTGAAGCACAGCAAGCAGGCGCGTTGGTAGGGCCGCTCACCCCCCACCCCCCGGGGACCTTCCCCTGCAGATTCCAAAACTGCAGCCGCAATGGCTTAATTGCGCGGGGTAATACTTAACCCTTTCATAGCCGCTGACTGCATCTCCAAGCCTGATCTATAAATACGAGGGACCTGAAGGGCTGGATTCGTGTGTTTTGGGATGAGGTGTTTTCGTGCAGGAAGCTGCAGAGGGGGCGACTGCACTGAAGAGCTGTCCCCTCCACACACTATTTTTTTGGGGGGGTTGCTTTCCTTGCAATTTCCGCATATTTCAAAGATACATTTTAATGCCAATTAGCCTGATCCAGAGAGGTGAGGTGACACAAGCAGGCCCTTCTAGGAGGAATATGGTGAGCAAATGAGAGCAAAGACGGTGTCATCTGACATTAAGAAGCTGCCACCAAAGGAGACTCTCATGAAACAGCGTCATCTATAGATAGATCAGGAACATGCCTCCCCTCCGCCTAAACCCGGGGCTTCGTGGCATTGTTATTCTGCAGCCCGTTGGGTTCAGATCCAGTATTAAGGGTGGGGGGCGGTATTTTACTTAAAACCTCTGGGCGCGTTTAACCCTGGTCCCGCAGTAAGACCGCGAGGGTGCCCCCCTGCCCTGCTGCCCCAGAGCAGCTTTGGAAAGCAAGCCGGGGAGACTGGTGGCAGCTGATGTGCCTGTTCCCCAAAGAAGTAAGGCTCCCCTGATCCCAGGTTCTTCCAGTCGCGCGGTAGTAATAAGCAACGCACTGGGCTCGGGCGGAAAGGTCCTCAGTCCCTTCTGCCCCTGGTGGCACCTTCCTGCCCGAGGCACACACGCCAGCAGAGCCCCTCGCTGCACCGAAAGCCCCCGTGAGTTCCTCTGTTCCCCTCCAAGGGACTCGCCTTTCCCAAGCCTGGTTCTGCCAGCCCAGCCAGCAGCCTCCCTCCGGCACAGCTAACCAGAAACCAAGTCCCCTTGATCGCCTTTGCGAGCCGAGGTGCACAGATACCTGCAGCAAAAGAGACTTCCCTGTAGCTCCCGTTACAGATTCCAGAACAACAAGCCCGAATCCTATTGCTTACGTAGAAATAACCCCACTAAACAGGACAGAGGTCGGACTCTCTAAAACAGTGCTCTAGAAATGACAAAAGTAACCCCGAACGTGTGAACAGACAAAGCTGAGCTCTGCGTTGAAGTAGGCAAGAAATAAAAAAACTTACCCCCAGTGCAAATCTGTTAAGCAATGATCAGGGTCTAGAAATCTATACTGAACAGAAGCAGTGGAGAATATTTTTCTGAGTCTCAGGGCAGAAGCTCTTTCGCTATATTCTTGGTTGAGTGAGCACATCCAGGTGTGAAATTGTTTGCACACCCCAGCACCTCTTATATTGCCAGCAAAATTAGCTGTTATTACTGTCACTGTTTAGTGATGGTTAGCTTGATAAAAAAAAACTGCTGTAATCAAGACCTGGCGCATCTTTGCAAATTACAGATAATTGTAAACGTCCAGATTATGATAATAGCATCCTAATCCAGCCTGCAATATAATTATTACAGAGTGTTACATCTGAAACTGTCCAGTAGGGCTAATTCAGCCATTATTTAGACCCTATTTTTGCACTGCAAATGGGCTGCTGAGTTGAAAATGTACGATTGTAATTTCACGGGGCACTCAATGAGTAATGGTATAGGAAGAGAAAAATACAAAAGTGAAATGTGAACAGTAGCGATCAAATCAAACTCTGAAGGACAAAAGACTGTTTGATTCATAGGGGATAAGAAGAGCGGGAATTAAGAAAATAGCAAATCAGTGGTCTGCAGCGTTACGTGTCCAAATCTCAGATCGTGCGAGCGCGTTGTGTATTCAGGGGCTGATGCTTCTGCTAGCTGATGTCTCAGATCACCCCTCTCGCGGCTCATCCCTTCCCAGGCACTATTTCCCTCGTTACCAAAAAAGGAGGCCCCGCGCTCCCTCCCACACCCTCAGGAACGCAAATTTGCCAGCCAAGTGCTTGCTTTTCTCGCAGGCGCCCGGGCCCTCCGCGCACCGCTGGCGCAGCAGCAGCAATGTTTGCTTCCTCACAATAAATAATCACGGCCACACAAACACCCGGGCGCAGCCGGCCAGTCCGCAGGTGAGTCTAGGGCCCCTAGGCCTCCGCTCAGTTCCCACGCGCTCCGCGGGAGCCCTCTAGGAAATGAGCGCAGAGCCTCTTAATTGCAATTAATTAAACTAAGGGAGCCTGCCTAAACCGACTGCCTGCAGCTAGGCAGGGGGGCCGCTCGGGCCACTCGCCGGAGGGCCCCCCCCCATTAGCCTTTATTGACCTCGAGTGTGAAAGACATGAGCCTGCTCCAGCTTTAATGGGCCAGATCATCAGTGGCGCGTGTTCCGTGCCCGGGGCCGGCCCCTGGGAGGACAGCGGTGCCCGCCACCTCCGGCCGCGGGGAGCGGGGAGCCGGGTGGTGAGTGGGGCCCCGCCGAGCCCCGCGCCCA